CCCCCCGAGAAAGTTGCATAAACAAAATAAATGCTCGATAAGGAATGCTACTAAGATATGTAACTGTGCAGCTTCGTTGGCCAAGTCACTTTACTATCAGAACGAGTATGATCAGCTGGCTGTAAGTTATCCGGCTTTGGAATTGCTATGTCGTTCGTGTGAAGCGGAGGCGTAGATAAGCGTTGTGATTGGTTGATAGGAGAGAATAAGGTGGGATCAACGTGAGCTACTTTTAGTCGATCAACGCTGACGGTATCTTGAACACCTCCTTTGTCGATGACGAAGTATTTAGGTCGGCACGAAATAACGCGGTATGGGCCGACGTACGGTGGCTGTAACGGTTTCTTCACCTGATCAACCCTAACGAAAACGAAGTCACAATATTGTAGCACTGGGGAGATTTGTGATGCGCGAGTATGTAAACGCGTTGGTTGAGCTCTAAGATTTCTCACAAAGGAGCGTAAATGATTAACATACATTGTTGGGTCTATTCTCACTGCTTCCTTCTGCTCAGCAACAAACTCGCCAGGGAGTCGGAGAGGGCTGCCGGCGGTCGAAAAGCCTAAATCTTCTTTCACCGCAGATCGGATCCCCAAAAGTACGAGCGGGAGACGCTCCGTCTAACTTTGAGGATTACCGTGAGCAATCAATGCTGCTTTCAGCTGTCGATGAATACGCTTGACCAAACCGTTGGCACACGGGTGGCAAGCGGTAGTGTGGATGTGCGTCGATCCAAGGAGACGGCTAAGGTCTCGAAAGAGCGAAGACAGGAACTGTGGGCCGCGGACCGTAGTGATTGTTGTTGGTACTCCGTAATGGGTGATCCATGACTCGAGAAAAGCTTGAGCCACGGTTTCGGAGTGTGTGTCTTTGATCGGCACGGCGATGGGCCAGCGTGCATAACGATCAATGAATGTGAAATCATACGAAAAATTGTGTGACGGAGGCCACGGGCCAACCAGGTCTATGTGGACATGGCTGAACCGACTATCAGGACTGGAAAAATGACCGAGAGGAGTAACAGCATGTCGATGGACTTTGCTCTGTTGGCACGCAATACATTCACGAGCCCTCCTAGTGATGTCTCTATTCATATTAGGCCACACGAACCTATCGCTGATAAGCTTCCGAGTAGCTCGGATACCTGGATGCGACAAATTGTGTAACTGATTGAAAATCACCCAACGGAGCGAAGCAGGTATAAATGGTCTGGGAGAACCTGTGGAGACGTCGCACGTGACACTTTCGGTTGAATTGGGTGTAGGAAGTTGTAACTTTAGGGACGGAATGGAAGGTAGTACAAGTTCAGTATCACGCTTTTGATGTACAGCCAGCTCAGATAAGTGAAACTCCGTAAAGCCTAGGGAATCAATCTGCATACGTGAAAGTGCATCAGCAACTACATTTGATTTGCCTTCAATATAACGGATGTCAGTCGTAAATTGAGATATATATGCCAGTTGCCGGCTTTCTCGGGGAGAATATCGATCAGACGTACTTTGGAGAGCGAAGATCAGTGGTTTATGGTCCGTCAAAACTGAGAAACATCGACCCTCTAAAAGATGTCAAAAATGGCGTATTGCCAGATATATAGCTAATAATTTTCGTCCAAACGTGCTGTAACGGGTTTATGCGGGCTGCAGACGTTTTGAAAAGAGTGAGAGAGGTTGAAATTCTGCATCTTTCATTGTCTGCACCGACTGCTTCTTGCGAGGCATCTGTGGTGAGGTAAAATTTAGTGTGTGGATCGGATGGAATATAATGCAAGAACGTCGAGGGGGTCAAGATGGAATTCATTCGGTTGAATCCTAGGAGAGGCTGTTCGTTAAGAACGTACTTACGAGTACCCTTTCGTAGTAAACCTATGAGAGGTTGAGCGAGTTGAGCGCACTCGCGGATGAATCGACGGTAGTAATTGACTAAACCCAGAAAACGACGCAGTTGTCTTACGGAAGTTGGGGCGGGGTAGTCAGCCAACGTGTTTACTTTTGAGGGTTGTGGTCTGATGCCTTTATGGTCAATGATGTGGCCAAGCACTTCGAGGGAAGGTACACCGAATTCACATTTCTCAACTTGGAGAATGATACCATGTTGTCGAAAACGTTCAAAGACGGCTTTCAAATGGTGCATATGTTCAGTGTGTGAACTGCTGGCAATGAGAACATCATCTATGTAGGCGTAAGCGAAATTTAACCCACGTAAGACTTGGTCAATGAAACGTTGGAAGGTCTGAGCAGCATTGCGTAACCCAAAGGGCATTCGGAGGAATTCGAATAAGCCGAAAGGAGTGGTAATTGCCGTTTTCGGTATATCGTCAGTGGCTACTGGTATCTGGTTATACGCACGGACAAGGTCGAGTTTCGAGAAAACAGTCTTCCCGTCCAGGGTCGAAGCGAAATCGTGTATGTGGGGTACAGGGTACTTGTCTGGAACGGTGGCCTTGTTAAGCGCCCGATAGTCTCCACAAGGTCGCCAATCGCCACTGGTTTTCTTCTCTACCATGTGAAGTGGTGATGCCCAAGAAGAACTAGATGGAAGTACAATGCCTAACTCGAGCATGTGCTCAAACTCACGTTTGGCTGTAGCCAGCTTATCTGGTGCTAAACGACGAGGACGCGATGACACAGGGTTTCCGGTGGTGAGAATCTTGTGTGTGACCTCGTGATGCAGTTGCGTTGGAAAAGCTGAAGGTTGGAATAAGTCTTTGTATTCCTTGATCAGGTCAGCATATGGGTCAGCTAAATCGGGGGTGAGGACCTTGATTGCAGGAGGCGTTGAACAGCACTGGATTCCAGCGATGCTCAAATTGGTTGCTTGGTCCACCAGTCTGCGACCTTTCACGTCTACTAGAAGCCCAAAGTGTGTGAGAAAATCAGCCCCTAGGATAGCAGTTTGTACATCGGCTATTAAAAATACCCAACGAAACGTGCGTCTAAGACCTAGGTTAAGCGTCATGGAACGATGGCCATAAGTGAGGATTCGAGACCCGTTTGCCGCACGAAGTGTAAGAGCCGTGGTTGAGTGACGTTCCTTAGATGAAGACGGTAAGACGCTGACTTCAGCACCAGTATCGACTAAGAAACGCTTGTGGGTCAGGTTATCCATAACGTGAAAAAGGCGACTTACGTTGGGGCCAAGAACAGTTGTCGCCGTTACTGTCTGGCCTTGTCGTTTCCCTGTTGACGATGGAAGTTACAGGGTTTGACACAATTACGTGCCTTTGAGCCAAACTTTCGATGGTATCGGCAGATCCATGTAGACTCGTCACGGTTGAAGAATGAACGTGAACGTGTAGGATGAGAGCGTGAAGTTGACCGAGAGCGGTGAGTTAGTTTGGCGGAAATTTGGGAGATCTGTAGAGAAATTTCTGAAACTTGTTGCTTCAGGGCTTCAACGTCGGTCTGTGTGTTTGACGTCATGGCTACTGATTGCACTGAAGGAGAGGGCTTAGTACCGTAGCATGAAAACACTTGGTCAGCCAATTCGGCCAATTTTGGAAGTGTTGTGTGTTTGTCAACAACCGATAAGACCTTTCTTATATCCCCAGGGAGGTTTTGCAACCACAACTCTTTGAGGTTGCTCTCACTTACCGCCTGCTTTCCTTGCAGCTGCGTCATATGTCGGAGTGGTTGAGCGGGGGTACGATCACCTGGTTCCACGCCGGCAAGTAAAACACGGAGGTTCTGTTCATCGGTGGCTGCTGTTCTATTAATCAATGCACCTTTTAGTACATCGTATGGGTTTACATCGGGTTTCTCGTAGATGATG